TCGACCAACAAAGCGTCTCAATCCCTTACCTTTCGAAAATAGTGCTCAGCCATGTACATGATTTTCTGTGGTGCACCGGGACATTTGATGGCCGTGTTTGGAAACGTGAAAATTACGTTCCCTGATTTCAGTTGCTGAATGCACTTGAACGTCTTTTTCACATAAACCGGATGGTAGTTTGAACACAAACCCGGAGTTTTGAATGCTTCGGGTAAACCTTTGATCTAGTAAGCAATATGGCAACATTATTTATATTCTCCAATATTTGCATACGTGTTTTAATAATTCGTTTTTGATGGTCATAAAGAAAGGGGAACGTAATTAGGAAATTCTTCTGATCGTTCTTATTCAATTTCGATGTAATGGATTCAGGAAAGCAATTCAGAGGAACAGCGGAACAAATGGCTCATATGATAAATAATTCTTCAGGTTTCTGTTTATGGGCTTATAGTTATGCACATGATTGTTTGAATGACTCATGGTTCCGGGCACAAAAAGGCAGCAGATGGCATACCGTTCAATGCCAACGTGTTTCACTTCATAGGCCGCAGCATCATCGGGGCTGGACCGAGTACAAGTGACTGCTTGAAGCCATTTATGTCCAACAGGCAAACAATGACAATTTTTCAATTGACTCGTCACATACAATCAGGACGTTGCTACACTGTCTCTGCAACGCATTCGAAGATCTTTGTCACTTTGACTCGACTTTGCGTATTAATTGTGTGATTGCATCTGAGCATTCATTAATGACCACAGAAGATGTGTATTCGTGGCATATCCGGTTTTTCATCGCCAGCATGTGCAAGGATCTTTTATCAGCAGATTTTATTTATATCGGTCTTTGTCCATAACAGACACATTGGTCTGATTGAAAAATTGCTCTTCAGTAATCGCACGCTGAACAATATCGGAACTGTCAGCCTCTCCAAAGCGGGCGGCCACAAGGTGCTCTTTTACACGGATGTTCAGTATTTGGTTGGTCTTTCCGATGTACATCTTGTCGCAGTCTCTGCGCTGAAGGTATGTGCTGTCTATAAGGCTCAGTGCATAGAATGAGACAAGGTATACATCGGAAAGACCAACCGGAAATTGAATATCCGTATATTGAAGCACTTCGCTGCGGTCCGCCTTCGACAGGCGGACAGTTCCGGTATTGCCCAAAATATGTGATTACTGAAGAGCATTCTTCCAGTCAGAGCAATGTGTCTGTTATGGACAAAGACCAATCTAAACTAGGTCTACTGATAAAGGAGTCCTCACATATGCTGGCAGTGAAAAACCGAATGTGCAACGAATATCATCTTCTGTTGTTATTAGCGAAAACTGGTGGTGATTGCAAAATTGATGTGCAAAATCTGGTGATCCAACTTATTTTGAACTGAACGTTATAATTTCTTCAGACCGTTTAACAACGTTTTGACAGTATCTGATGAGCCACTTGAAAACTGGTATCGTTCGCTTGTTGGACACAAATGCATTCAAGCAGTCATTTGCACCCTGCCCAGCCTTGATGATGCTGCGGTCAGTGCGGTGAAACGCGTTGGTGTTGAACGGTTTACCATCTGCTGCATTTGGTGCTCTGAACCATCAATCATTGAAACAACCATGTATGTAATTGGCTCAATATCCATCTTATATGCAGACTAAGGCCCTTTAAGACACCAAAAACAGAAGCATCTGTTTATTCATCAATTAGCTTTTTAACAAGCATCTAGTTGAACCATGTTTTACATTTATCATGAGTATAACAGAGGAAGACTTCGGAGGAACCATCTCTAACAAATACTATATGCAAGTCTTTCTAGAAAAGTTAAATGTTGCCACGTGATACCTCTGCGAGATTGCGTGGAGGAGACACCACCGGGGAAGAAGAGATGACTCTACCCGTGCTCACAGTGCAAAACCCTGACCCGGTCAAGTCTCACCGAGACGTCACTTGGAACCCGATTAAGCTAGTATAGAAACATAATAGACCTTTTGCTCCAAGATGCCCAGCAAGCGTGGACAATAGCCATAACCATTTCTCAATGTCGAAAGAATTGGAAAGCACAGACAAAAATGGCCTCCGTTCCTCTGCATGCAGTTCGAGTTAGACTACACAGAACTGCATCGCACGACTGATGAATGACAGTGAACTTCAGCAGTTATGGATTGATAGCCAACTGGCTGTTATCGCATAACTGAAAGACCTCAGCTTGCATGCGATGATGAACTAAAAGAGAAATACGGAAGCTAGTGGTGATACATCCCACGATATGGAGGAACTTGAGCATGGAGACTTGGCAGCAACGATCACTGATAATTATGAAAAGCGATCAGTTAATTGTTGCTGTCGTTGTTACAAGATTGCGTGCCAAAAAGACGAGTTTTGTGCAGATAAATCATAAAAAATTGGTTGTTTACGTAATAGCGTATTTGTCAACATTTATATACGTCTCTCAGGTACTGTGAGGCATCGCTTAAACGAAGTACACCGTCCATTTGACGAAGCTGGCGTTTCTGTTTATGATGAAGACAGAAATCAGTGCAACCTTATGTCACAGAATCGATTCATATAATAGGGTATAATGATGAAATGTGAAACGGCAATTCTTCATTCTACAAGGTGGGCGAAACTAGGCCGCGGTCAAATAAACTTGTGCACGATACAAAAGAGGTTTGCAACCATCATTGAGTCTGATGATTTTCACTGTTGCAATAATATTTATGCTATTTTACGGCTTCAACGACATCGTCTATGAACACCATTTATCGATATTCAAAAGAAGTTATATTTCAGAAGGTATGAAATCATTTGGAATGCGAAACAATGAAGGACAGAAATAAAGACACAGTTTCGTTTGACAAAAAAATAATAGAAATACACTGTAAACCCAACGCATTAAAAAACAAACAGGGGCACAGTAGCATGAAAGCTAACCCGTGCTACGTTCAGCACAGTCATATAG